GATTTGAATGGAAAAAGTTCGGGATAATAGCTTATTGCTATCAAGATACTATACTTTTTGGCAGAATCGATAAGTCCTCCTCAGAAACAAAAAGAAATAATTTTCGAATTTCGATCTAAAACTTTGCATACAGACAGGTCTTAACGGGAATAATTTATTGTGAAAGTTTCAGATTTTTTGGCTACGTCTATTTTCAAATAAGCACATCGAACTTTGCCGTTGTTTAATGGAACAAAAGTATTTTTTAACGTTTTTGAACGATGTACTTTTTATGAAAAAAAATGCCTTATTTTGTTGATGATATCTAATTAACAACCAAAACAATAATATCGAATGAAACTTGAAATTCAATCCAATTTTTTTTTCAGTAGTAAACTCAAAAATTCTGTTTATCACTTTGAAAGATTATGAATAATACATAAATAAACTTTCTTGCTTACACAGAAGCACTAAATTTTAAATTATAATTTCCACCACTTTGTACAATAGCTGGATAACACATTTCAACATGATTAAGATCAGCTTTTGCTACAAATTTTTCATCGCTTAATGCAGCTTCAAGTCCTTCAGATAATTTTGAATGTTTTACTTTCTATCAAAAAGAAAAAAACAAAAACCAATAAAGAAAAAAAAGTTCAAATAAAAATCTTATTCATACTCGTTCTGAATCAACGGTATTAACAATTTGATCTTTTAAATGTTTACTATAAAGTTTTCCAGTTATTTCACATGCTTTACGAATTAAGCCAAGTTCTTCATTATCTTTAATAGAAAGTAAATAACCAATCGAAGCACTTATATCAACCTAAAATTAATACAAAAAATAAATAAATAAATATTTCTTTGAAAAAGAAAATGAACTGTTTACAGTTGTAAATGAATGTTGACTTAAATAATTTTTCCATTGTTCCCCAAATGTTCCATCCATTTTATCTTTTGAAAATATTCCTAATGTCTTGCCTTGATGACTTTGTTTAATTTGTTCAATAATATCAGCAAAATTTTTTTCATCATTATCTTTACGTATTAAAAAATTAAAATTTCTTGGAGCATTTTCTTTATTATTATGTTCACTTTCAATCTACAAAAATAAAAATAATTCTCATCATTTCAGATTAAAATCAAATTTACTTGTTTAAGATAATTGATTTTTTTTGAACCAGCGAATATAATAACTGAATCTTGACAAAATACCACAAGAACATCATGCATTTCATAACCAAATAACCAAGTCTGGAATAAGAACAAAGTAATAAATAAAGAAAACAATAGGAAATAAACAATTACAAACCTGCATAGCAGCAGTTTTACTATAAGTAAAATCATCTTCTTTTTGTCCACGTACAATAACAATTGCATCAGCAGAATGTAACGCATCATTATCATGAGTTAAGACATCAGCTCCATCTTCATGATTAGTATTCTACAACAACAACAACAACAAAAAATAAATGTCTAAATCTCAATGCTGATTTTATTAGATGTATTAGTTACTTACTTGCCATAATGCATAGAGTTTACGAATACGTTCGAGACATCGAGCTCCGTCAATGAAAACGTCGGAAGGCATCTACAAAACTAAATTTTATTATAATACACATATGAAACTATAAAGAAAAATCTTCTTCTCTAAACTGATCTGTTCTCAACTACTCAAGGTTATAAAATGAGTACAGATGAACATGAGCAACGACAATCATTGATAATCGGATAGATTATTTTTCATTGGTCAAATAAGAACGTATTATACTTAATTAATTTTACAAAATAAGAAAAAAAGATCCAATCAATTTATAAATATTACATTTTTATATTAAACAAATATATAACAATTAAATTTCGATATGAAATTATAATATTTCGTTGTCTTGCGACATCTGCTTCAGCTTTCGAATCTTTACATGTACGAAAATAAAGGGTGATCCAAAAGTCTTGGGCCCTCTCAGAAAAATTGTTCGTTCTCCCTTATAGTAAACTCAACAATGCTCAAACTCTGGTATCTTATCCCTTGTAAGTAGACGAATATTACCCCAAAGTTTCATGTCTCTGTCCCTTATTATAAGGGAGATATATAGGCTAACATTCTAGAAAGCTTATTTTTCCATGTCCTAAAAATAATGGTTGGCGCATAATATATGGGCCACTTTTGCGTTTCATTTTTCCACCATATGATAAGTAAACAAAATATACTGCAAGATGCAACATGAAAAGCTCTACAATCTACACAGTAAAGTGTATTTTAATTATATAGTTTTTGATTCCAAGAAAAAGCGAAACTCTATGCAATCAATTTTCGCCGTCGTAAAAAAATCTTTTTTTCTACACGAACGAAAAATTCGTTTTTTTTCTCACTTTGTTGTGACCTAATACATCTTATTAAGAAAAAGCAAAATATACCACAAGATGCAGCGTGAAAACCCATGTGTTTCATTACGATGAAACTGCGGCGCAATTACGGCGTAACTGCGATCGCACTGTGACCCGTAATTGCGGAAAATTGCGACGTAGTTACGCGTAACTACGATAAAAAATCGCAGTTACGCGTAGTTACGGTGAAAAACTCACAGTTACGCATAACTGCATCCCTGTTTTTCGCAATTATGGGTCACAGTTGCGTCGCAATTGATACAAGAGATGACATATATTAGGTTTTCATGTTGCATCTTGCAGTATATTTTGTTTACTTATCA